GGTATCCACCCCCCACACACACAAACACACACACAAACACACACCTTTACCAAATTTCTTTAGCAAGAAACGGACTTACGGAAGGGGGCAGGAGGGGGAAAGTGTAAAAAAGAGAAGATTTGAAAATACTATCTCTACATAGTAATCAAACATTTCTGATAAGATAATGTAGTAGTGTTTAAACATTTGTCTTTTGTCCCCTCAGTCAAAAACGGCAAAGCAGGAGCCAGTCAGTGGTGTGGTGGTTAAGGTCCTGGACTCCCACGTGGCCGGCCACAGTGTTAAGTCTTGGACCTGGTGGCTTGCTGTCTTGTCTTATTTGAATAAAATAGCCATTAACAGGCTAGGGAATTTTTACATTTAAATTTTGCCAGGTGGTGCACATGCTCAATACAGAGAGATAGGGAGAGGGACAAAGTGCCACCCATGAAGAATGGGCATGCCTCAGTCCTTTCTCCTCCATTTCTCCAGCCTGCCAGGCTTTGGGGCATGCATGCACTTGTGCCTGGCTTGTTTTTCAAGCCTCTGGGTCTGGGACTTCAGTTTCAGGGTTGGCCATGTGACTGCCTTAACCACCAGATCACAGAGCCTCCATTTTCTCAGGATCTTGGGCACGCACGCACACAGAAATTTTAGCATTTTTTTCATGACTTCATATTATGAAATTGTCCTCAAGAGTCCAGTGAAGGTTTTATTTCCTTGACTACAATTTATTCCCTTGCTCATCAAGGAAATGACAGGTAGGGTTAATCCCTTACCTAAAGGGGTGTGATAGTTTGGGTTAATAATGATTCATATTTCCGTATTGGATAAGTTGAACTGTCAAATGTGCAAACGTAAGTTGTTTTTGTTTTCCGGGAGCCAATTTTTATTGTCTTCTCATTTCTTACATTTGAAATACTCTTCAATGACATCCTTGGCCTGAGATTCTTTGCCATAGTCCTTAACTACCACACGGCTGCAACCGACTTTCCGGGGTTTTCCCTCCCTGTTTTACAGAGGCCACCCATTCCCCTAGATTCTTGTTGCCATCAGCCTTAGTCAGGTGGATCTGGTGTCCAGAAGGGCCTTGGCCGACCTGACACACGCAGGTTCATCACAGCCGATGCAAGCATACACAGGTGGGCTTGGTGCTTGTCTAAGGCTTTGGCGGCTTGCGAATGCTGCCTGCTAGGCCATCGTGGATGAGGGCGGTCTTCAGCACCTTTTGTAAAGCAGTATGAACATCCATTACACCTCCAGCAGCCATGCCTTCCTTGGCCCCGGTGGTGGATTATGGTGCAGCCGAATCTTGAACGCACCGGAGCCAGCGCCTCCGCACGACTCACCTGCGGCAGGAAAAGAGCCCAACATAACTTTTTATTTGCTACTTAACACAGAATCGAAATTCGATTGACAAAAAAAAAAAAAAAAATCCTGGGCCTAAAATGTCAAGAAGTAACTGAAAGGAAAACAGCCCCAAGATGATTCTAGGACTAGAAGTCTTTATTTGCAAAAACAATATTAGTTACTAGAAATATTTTTTTAAGTTAGCTTTAAGTAAATTCTTTCTTTCTTTCTTTTATTTTTTTTCAGTTTGCTATAGAGTGCATGTATTCTTCAGAGAGAGAAAGTGAGAAATCACCCCCAGGAAGTTTGGCTATGCTGCAACCCTTCTCCTCCATTCTTTTCTTGGGATTTTGGGCATGCACACATGTACCTGGTGTGTTTTTCAAGCCACTGGGTCCAGGACTTGAACCACACAGTTGACTATGTGGGATCCACTGCTTTTAACCACCATGTAAACTGGCTGGCTCTGTATCAAGTGCATTCCATTTTTAAAAAGAAGTATTTATTTTATTTACTATTATTATTTTAATTTGCTACAGGGTACGTGCACTCACGTGTGAGACAGAGAGAGAAAAAGTGAGAAAGTAAACTACCAGGTGTCGGACTCAAACATGGTCAGCCATGTAGGAGTCCAGCACCTTAACCACGCCACCTGCTGGCCCTCAAATAAATTCTTAAAAACAACCATTGGTTATAAATATCAAGCTGAAGCTATGTTTCAAAGCATCATAAAGATATTTTTATCTTTGGCTCTATGATTGTATATCAAAGATTGTATCTTAGGAAAATAAGAGATTCATATGAAGATTACAAGGTTATCTACTACAGTATTACTTGTAGAAATGCAAGCCATTGGTAATACCATAATGGGGAATTAAATGAATGACTAGACCCCCATAAACTGAAATAGTTCACAACCATTTAAATCATGTATTTCAGGGCATTCTCATATTGTAGTGATGGGAGTAAAAATGGGACAATAACGTGAAAGGACAATTTTATATTAGCTATCTAAACTATAAATGGGCATCCTCGTTTATTCCCTCCTTTATTTATGTGTGTGCATGTCAAAGTGAGAGGAACACTCTCCACAGGGCCCGCTCACGCCATGATCCCCTCACTAGTCCTCTAGCCCGCTGGATCTTAGACACTTACGAGTGTGCCTGGCATGTTTCAGGCTGACCAGCTTGGGGATTTGCACCACAGTGGCCGTGTGGGATCTGGCTTCTCTTCACTGCTGTGCCATGGAGCCAGCCCAATGGGTGTACTCTTTGATTCAATATTTCTTTTTCTTTTCTTTTCTTTTTTTTTTTTTTTTTGAGGGGTTTTTGCTATAGGGGGCAGACAGAAAGAGAGAGACAGAGAGACAGAAAAAGAGAAATCACCCCCCAGGGGGGATGGCCACGCTGCAATCCCTTCTCCTCCATTCTCCTCTTGGGATCTTGGGCACACACGCACATGTGCCTGGCATGAGTTTAAGCCACCGGGTCCGGGACACGAACCGCAGTTGACTACATCGGAGTCCAGATTCAATATTTCTATGTCTAGATATGTAGCCTGAGAAAACAATTTGAAAGATATGCAACCATATGAACAAAATGCTCGCTGAGACTTTGTTTATAATAGCCAGAAATTGGAACCGATCAAAATATCCATCAATGAGATTTGTTCAAATAAATTCTAATGCAGTTAGACAGTGAATATTTATTTATTTATTTATTATTTTAATTCACCAGAGAGAATCAGAGAGAAAGATAAAGGGAAAGTGAGACAGCAACCTGCCAGGTCCAGGACTTGAACCACAATCAGCCATAGTGGGAGTCCAGCACCTCAACCACCAGGCCACCTACAGTGGAATACTAAGTAGCAATTAAAAGGAACTAGGTAGATGAATTTGTTTTTTGTTTTTATTTAATTTATTTATTTTAGGCAGATTTTTGCCAAAGAGCACATGTGCTTGCCAGAGAGACAGACAGAAAGCAAGAAATTACCTCCCAGAGTGAATGGCCAAACCACAACCCTTTCTCCTTCATTCTCCTCTCAGGATCTTGGGCACAAATGCACATGCACCTGGTGTGAGATTTTTTTTGGAGAGGAGAGGATTTTGCTATAGGGCGCATGTGCTCACCAGAAAGACAGAGAGAGACAGAGAGCGATAAATCACCCTACAGGGGGGATGGCCATGCCACAATCCCGTCTCCATTCTCCTCTCCGGATCTTGGGCACACACACACACATGCACCTGGCATGATTTAAGCCACCGGATTTGGGACTCGAACTGTGGTCGACTACATGGGAATCCAGCAACATAGCCATTATGCCAACTACTGGTCCCCTCTGGTGTGAGTTTTAAGCTGCTGGTTCTGGGACTCAAACCACAGTCAACTACGTGGGAGTCCAGCAATATAACCATTACGCCATCTGCTAGTCTAAGTTTTTGTTTTTAATTTTGCCAGCAGGCACATGCACTTGCTGGAGAGAGAGAGGGAAAGTTAGAAAGCGCCCTCCCCACCCCAACACACACACATGGTCATGCTGCAATCCGTTCTCCACCATTTCTCCCTCCTCTAAGTATTTTGAGCATTTTTGAGCATGTGTCCACACCCTCTCTACTGGCATTGTTTTTTTGAAGTCACTGAGTCTGGGACTAGAAACATGCAGTCAGCCAGGTGGAATCCAGATGCCTTTACCACCAGCTGCCCCAGATGAATGTGTTTTAATGAGAGGAGCACTATATATTGTTGAGTCACCAAAGTCAGTTAGAAAATTGTATGTTATTGCGGGACCAGAAGTTAGTGTAATGGCTATGTCGCTGGACTTCCATGTAGTTGACCGTGGTTTGAGTCCTGGACCTGGTGGCTTAAACTCATGCCGGGCGCATGTGCGTGTGTGCCCAAGATCCCAAGAGGAGAATGGAGGAGAAGGGATTGTGGCATGGCCATCCCCCCGAAGGGTGATTTCTCACTTTCTGTCTCTCTCTTTCTGGTGAGTGCATGCGCCCTATGGCAAAAACCTCTCCAAAAAAAAGATAATTGTATATTTTCGGGGCCGGCAGATGGCATGGTGGTTAAAGGTGCTGGATTCCCACATGGGTGAGTACGAGTCCTGAACTTGTGGCTTGCTTTCTCACTCTTGGTCTCTCTCTCTCTCTCTCTTCCTCCCTCTCTGGTCAAATTGAAATGAAAAAATGTGTAAATAAATAAAGTTAAATAAAATAATTCTTAAAAAAAAAAAGAAAATTGCACATTTTCTCAGCTGGTGGCGTGGTGGCTGAAGACACTGTATCCCATGTGCTGACTGTGAGGTTTGAGTTTGGACCTTGTGGCTTGAAAAACACACTGGGTGTGTAAGTTTGTGTGCCCGAAATCCTGAAAGGAGGAAGAAAGGAAGAAGTAAGGAAGAAGAGAGGATTATAGTGTGCCGGTCCCCACGCGTACGGTTATTAAACACACGTTTGAAGAGATGTACGCATCGGGTAGAATGAAGCCAGCTCAGGACCTCTGAGAGGTGAGGTTAAGGGAAGACTTTCATGTTCTATCTTGTATACTGTGTGTGTGTGTGTGTGTGTATGTGTGTACGTGTGTGCACATTTTTGCAATGAAATCGTGTCACTGTTATTTATAAGCAACAAAAAGAATAAAAATACCAATTTGGAAAAACAAACTTTTTTTATACTTCCCTGGCAGGGGATACCGTGATCACAACTGGGAAAACTCCCAGGGTGAGGCCTACCCATTGCACTCCGGGTGTGCTGACCCCTGCGGCGGCCCCAACTGTGGGAAACTGGACTGCACAATCTGTGGTAGTGGGGGGCTGCGTTCATGCTTTTCCTTGGTAAGGAGAAAAAAAAAAAACTTTTTAAAAGAGAATATTTACATACATGGAAAAATGCTTACAACACACTGTCAAATAAAAATTGTATGACACAAAGCAGAACCTATATTAGACCAATTTCATTTAAAAAATGTAAATGCATGTACATAATGTGTATATATATATATATTTGCTCAGGAAAACATCCGAAAGAAAACAAGCAGAAATATATGCATGGGAGTTACAGTTGACGGTTGGAATTCTGGGTAAATTTTATTTTTTGTTTTACTTTTCAGTATTTTTCATGTTTTTTAAAAAAATGCTTTAGGAATGGGACCAGCAGTTAGCATAATGACTATGTCACTGGACTCCCATGTAGCTGACTGCGGTTCATGTCCCGGACCTGGTGGCTTAAAACTCACGCCGGGTGTGTGTGTGTGTGTGTGTGTGTGTGCCCAAGATGCCGAGAGGAGAATGGAGGAGAAGGGATTGCGGTGTGGCCATCCCCCCTGGGGGTGATTTCTCGCTTTCTGTCTCTCTGTCTCTCTTTCTGGCGAGCACACGTGCCCTATAGCAAAAACTTCTCCAAAAAAAAAAAGCTTTTATAATTATATGATACTTTCATAATCAGAAAAGGTATCATTATATATAACATACTGCTTTAGCCATGTTGTAACTGCTTAGAAAGCAATTTCTTGCCTTTTAGACTGCAAAAATTTTTATAATCGGAGCACATGGCTATCTTAAAATGTGGATGAGTGAAATCTTTTCTATTTTCCAGTTCCGTCAAAGGTAAAGGAAGGGACTAGCCCCATGGTGTATTAGTAAGAGAGTCAAATCCCACGTGGCTGCCTGTAGTGTGAATCCACCCGCCATATGCTGAGCACGTGTATGTGTGGCCAAAATCCTGACATGAAGAAATGGAGAAGAAATTGCAGCGTGACCATCCCCCAGGACTGTTACTCTCCCTCTCTCTGTCTCTCTCTAGTAAGTACATGTACTCTTGGCAATATTAATAATAATAATGGTAAAGGGAGAGTTAATTTTTTTTTATGTGACTCAAGGTCTTTTTTTTTTTTTTTGAGAGGTTTTAGCTATAGGGTGCGTGCTTTTGCCAGACAGACAGAGAGAGACAGAGAGACAGAAAGCGAGAAATCACCCCCCGGGGGGATGGCCACGCCGCAATCCCTTCTCCATTCTCCTTTTGGGATCTTGGGCACGCATGCACACGTGCCCGGCGTGAGTTTTAAGCCTCTGGGTCCAGGACACGAACCACGGTCAACTACATGTGAGTCCAGCGACATAGCCATTACTGACTGCTGGTCCCTGTGACTCAAGGTCTTGAAAGAATAGAAAAATTCCCCAATCTCTGAGTTTATCAGAAACTTACTGCTGGCTGGTGGCGTGGTGGTGAAGTTGCTGGACTCCCACATGGCTGACTATGGTTCAAGTCCTAAACCTGGGGGCTTGCTTTCTCACTCTCCTCTCTCTGGTCAAATTGAATAATAATAATAAATAAATAAAATTGAATAGATAGTTCTTAAAAAAAAGAAACTGCTACAGTCCCTACCCTAATTCCTGCCAATATTATTGAAACAGCTTTTACTCTCTCTGTTTTCTTTTCGCTCCTAAATACAGTCCATAATGTAATTCGAAAGGATTAGGGAGATCTGTAAGCATGTTGCCAAAAGACTAATCATCTTAAAATATGGCTTCCCTTTTAATTTTGCTAAAAAGTCCTTAATGGCAGGTTACAAAGAGTATTTACAGCACAATCCCATTTCTGTAATAATCGTATAAACATAGTACAATATGTACAATAAAAATTGCAAGACTATAATCCAAATGTTAGCAAAGCTTTTCTTGGGGAGTAGTGGGGTTCTAGAGGAATTTTACATTCTAATTTCTATATTTCTGAAATGTTTGACGAAAAGCCTAGATTATTTTTATAATGCAAAAAGAAATTAAAGTGAGGGAGGAATCCTTTCACGATTTCTCACTGATCCAAGGATGCCATCTAAACTCTTTCTTTTGTCCAGATGCCTACCTTAATAATTTTTGTATTCAGAGGTGGCCCCATAGCTCAGCAGTTAAGGGATCAGGATCCTATGTGGCCAACCACAGTTCTAATCCTGGCCTTGGCAGCTGGAAAAACAACAGGAGCTTGCCCTGCCAAGATCCTGAGGGGAAGGAGGAATAGAGGAAGAATTGTGACATGACCACACCCGACTGGGGGAGGTTCTCTCTCTCTCTGCCAAGAGCACACGCCCACTGACAATTTAAAAAATCTACTCAACAGAACCCACCCGGTTCATTCCAGCCCCTCAGAGATTACCCACCTTTCTAAATGTTTATGGCACTGCCTGACTTTGGCACTTTTTGAATTTTATCACACAGTGGAGCATGGCCTTATTTAAAGTGCTTCACAATTAATGTATAAATCAGTAAAGTTGGGGTTTATTCTTTATGCCCCCTCTCCCCCCAAATGCCTGAACCATTCCAGACCATATCAGATGATCACTGCATCTTTCTTTTCTTTCTTTCTTTCTTTCTTTCTTTCTTTCTTTCTTTCTTTCTTTCTTTCTTTTTCTTTCTTTCTTTCTTTCTTCTTTTATTTATTTATTTATTTTTTTTGAGAGACTTTTGCTATAGGGCACATGCCATACACTGGCGGGAGAAACAGAAAGTGAAAAATTACCCCCTAGGGGGACGGTCGCATTGCAGTCCCTTCTCTCCCATTCTCTTGGGATTTGGGGCATGCACACACACGCGCCCATCGTGAGTTTCAAGCCGCTGGGTCCAGGACTCAGAAATGCAGTCGGCCACATGGGAGTCCAGTGATGTAACCATTATCCATATGTTGGTCCCGGTCATTACGTATTTCTAAATATTTCTTTATTTACTTTTTGCTACAGAGTGTGTGTCCTCACCAGAGAGAAGGGGGAGAGCAGTAAGTGAGAGAGTGGTAAGTGAGAAAGCACGCCCCAGGGGGATGGTCACAATGATCCCTTCTCTGTTTTCCTCTCGAGATTTTGGGCACAGAGGTATATGCTCCTGGTGTGTTTCTCAAGCTGCTGGGTCTGGGACTCAAATGGTGCTGTCACCTATGTGGGATCCAGCCATCCCAACCACCATGCCACCCAGGGCCTGACTAGATGTTTATTTAATTATTTATTTTTAATTTTGTTGAAGGTTTTTGTCATAGGGTACGTGTGTTTTTTGCAGAGAGAAAGTGAAAAATCGCCCTCTGGGGAGATGGCCATGCAGCAATCTCTTCTCCACTCTCTCCTCAGGATTTTGGGCACACACACATATGTGCCCCATATGGTTTCTTTTTATCTTTGTCTTTTCTTTATTTATTTATTTATTTTTTGCCATAGGGACTTGCACTTGCCAGAGATAGACGGTGAGAGGGAAAGTGATAAATCCCTATCCCCCAGGGGGGAAGACCACATTGCAATACCTTCTTCTCCATTCTCCTCTTGGAATTTTGGGCACGCGTGCACCTGTGCCTGGCATGATTTTCAAGTCACTGGCCTGGGACTCAAACCGTGGTTGACCATGTGGTAGTCCAGTGCCTTAACCACCATGCCACTTGCTAGCCCTGATATTTATTAATTGGCTTGAAACTCTACATGTAAGGAAACTGAAAAGAATACAAAAGGTTATTTTCTTAGAGACACCCACAAAGAAAATCTATTAGGAAGAAAAGAAAAAATGAAATGGAAATTAAAAAAAAAAATTTTAACACACACACACATATGCTGAAAAATGAAGACCAAAAAAAAAAAAAAAAAAAAAAAATGGACAATAGACACATTTGAGAGATAAGACAGTGTATTATTCCTTTATTTTCCTTGCTTCTTCCAGTTTTTGGTGGTTCCTGGCACTCCCTGGCTTGTGGCCATGTCACTTGAATCTCTACATCTGGGGTCATGTTTTTTTTTTCTCTTCTGTCTTTCAAATCTCCCTTTACAAGATCAGCAGATGGCATAACTGTTACATCACCAGACTTCCACGTAGTCAACCACGGTTCGAGTTCTGGATCCAACAGCTTAAAATTGATGCTGGGCACGTGTGCGTGCGTGCCCAAAATCCTGAGAGAAGAATGGAGAAGAAGGGATTGCGGAGTGGCCATCCACCCTAGGAGGTGATTTATCGTTTCTATTTCTCTGTCTCTCTGGTGAACGCACAAATCTTTCTTTAAAAACCCCCACAAATCTCCCTTTAGCTCCCTCTTCTAAAAATACATGTAGTTACATTTAGGGCCCATCAAATAATCCAGGGTAATTACTCATTTCAAAACCCTTACTTTAACCGTCATATCTGTACTTTTTCTTTTCCATTTAAGGTAACATTCACAGGTTCCAAGAATAAGAACATGGACATCCTTTGGGGGTCCATAGTGCAGCCTGCTACAGATACTTGCCAGGAGGAGTTTCTTTTAGTACACAGGAAAACTTCATGGTCTTCAGCCCTACTTTCTTCCCATTTCAAGGCATGATACAGGACCAGCAGTTAGCGTAATGGCTATGTTGCTGGACTCCCACATAGTCAACCGCGGTTCGAGTCCTGGACCCGGTGGCTTAAACTCACGCCGGGCGCATGTGCATGCGTGCCCAAGATCCCGAGAGGAGAATAGAGGAGAAGGGATTGTGGCGTGGCCATTCCCCCTGGGGGGTGATTTCTTGCTTTCTGTCTCTCTGTCTCTCTCTGTCTTTCTGGCAAGCGCATGTGCCCTATAGCAAAAACCTCTAAAAAAAAAAAAAAAGGCATGATATATAAAAAGAAGCTTAAAATTCTTTAAACTGCTCATTCTTGAGCCAGCTCATGGCTGACTGCGTGGTTCTGAATCCCAGACCTGGTGGCTTGAAAAGCACACTGGGCATGTACGTGTGCATGCCCAAAATCCTGAACGGAGGGAAAAATGAAGGAGAGGGGATTTCAGCATGACCCTTCCCCATGGGAGTTGCTTTCTCCCTCTCCGTCTCTGTCTCAGTCAGTCTTTGTTAAGCAAAATG